TATTTGGGAGCGTTACAAACTAACCAGCAGCACTGTTGGTGTGTGTGTGTGTGTGTGTGTGTGTGTGTGTGTGTGTGTGTGTTTTCTCTGTCAGTGTCTGTGTTTTAATGGCTGGAGAGGCTGGGTGTTACTTGCATTTGCTCCAGTATAGAGAAGCAGGAGTAGGTAATGGTGAAGAGCTACATTTAAAGAAAAAAACAAAATAAAAAGGTGGTTAAACTGCATTTAAATTCCAATCAAGAGAAGCTTATATTTTCTGCACTTTCCTCCTTTTATTTTTATTTTTATTTTTGAAAGATCCATCATTCATCCCACTAAGTCACATTCACTCCAGATTAAACCCCTCAAGATTTCTGTCATTTAGGTGGGGGTACCTTCCATTTCCACCCATGTAAAAGACCCCTGTAAGTGCAGGAAAAGGGGGTCCTCTCCCCCTCTCTCTACAGTTCAGGACGGATGTGGACTGTTTGGGATTTAAAGCCACATAGGAAGGAAGGGGGGGATCAGTGGATAGACTAGAGAAACTGGACGTACCCCTGCCAAGAATGTAGTTGCAGGCAGTGATGTGGGCTGTGCAGGATAAAAGCAGGGAAAACCAATTTGCCCACCTTTTGTAGCTGCGGGAATGGAGTTAACCCTCCCTTTGTAGGTCGGAGCATATCTGTAACACTAATGTGCATCAAAATAAGCGGCTGCAAACTGTTGCTTACCCAGGGATCTGTACATATTGGTGCTTGTGCGTCCACTCTCTGTTCTCTCGAAGACTGCAAATCACGTCCCAACAAACATCTGCACGAGTAAGACGGTTAATTGTGCATTAGCTTAGAAGTTGCATCTGAACTGTGTCCTAACTTAGCCTTTATTCCTGTCTGTGTTTTCCAGGGAAGGAGCCAGGCTTAGTATGTTATTGGAGAAATTGACTGTGCACTGGCAGCCTCCTGCATGTTAATGTAATGGAAACGCGCCTTGGTCACCCCCGGTAGCATCTGAAATGCATCAGCGGAAATATATCAGCAACTCCCATGGCTAATTGTATCAAGCGGTGGTGGCTCGAGTTGGCCAGCGGACGCACTCAAGAGCCGGGTGCCCTGCCATGCCCAGCGCCATGCTAAAGCAACACACTCATAATAACAAGGAGCACTCCGTTCAACCAGTGGGAAAGCTGTGGAAAAAGTTGGTGGAAAATCTATGGTTTGAGCCTCAATTTTGATTTCCTTTTTTTTTTTTTTTTTTGGAATTTTGACCTAGATATTCTGTAACGCAACATAGCTCGGCCGCTTCCCCTGCCATCTGCGCCGGCTCTGCTTCTTTCTCCACTTTTCACTCAAGTTGCATTCACTGTGGCTCCTCCTTCGCATCGGCCCCCGAGGACGCGCTAGACTGCTCCCTGCTTTCTGAGAGGCGCGCTTTCAGCCCGACGAAATGGATGTTCGACTTTACTGCCGGCCTTCGTTGCAGTTGCGAATGTGAGGGGCAGGATGAAGGGACCCCTATGAAGAGGAGGAATAGGTGGAACAGCAGCACTATATCAAAATGGCCCAAACCAGTTTGCTGCAGGGGAAGCGCTTTTACTGCCGGGAGTGGGTCTTCCACAAGATCCAGCATTGCCTCCAGGAGAAAACCAACAACCTCAGTGGAGTGACCAGCACTCCCAGTAAGCAGCCCCCGCCGGCGCCCGGTGGGGTTGCGTCCAACCCTGGCACTCTGACATCAGGATCCACAAAGTCAGGTACCTCCTGGGGGGTGTTGCTGGTGGGGGGGCCCGGCAGCGGGAAAACCGCGGTGTGCACGGAGCTGTTGTGGCCCACGTCGGCGCAGGGAACGCACCGGGGTCTGCACCAACAGAGCCTGGCGTTCCACTTCTGCCGGGCGGACGACTCGGACACGCTGTGCGTCGGCGGGTTCATCCGAGGCCTGGTGGGCCAGATCTGCCGCAGCGGGCTGGTGCCGGGGTACGAGGAGAAGGTGCGCGACCCAGCTGTGCAGAGCACTCTGCAGCCCGGGGAGTGTGAGAGGAACCCCACAGAGGCTTTCAAGAGGTGAGGATGAACGCACACACACACACACA